GCAAAGCAAAAATAAGAGGTGGTATAGTATCTACTCATTCCTAAAATCAAGGAAGATCACGAGCGCCTATTAGCTTTCTTGCATATTCGACTCTCTAATGCATATTTGACTTCGCTACCTTATTTTAGTTTGATAAAGTAAAATAAAAGTTGATATTGTACTTTACTTGAAAGAGATCCTACACCGATAGATATTCTGTCATGTAGAAGAGAGCTTGGAATGCTTTCTGCTTAAAAAAGGTCGAAGTCCTTCACCCTAGAACTAATAATGGAATGGTAACCCAATTGATTGACAACTATACCATGAAGACTTGGTTGCTTAAAACCTCCATTTCTCTAAGGCTTAACAGGATTCACACCATAAAAAAGACTAACATGGTGGTACAGTGCCTGATCCTATTCTCATCAAACAGAAGACCAATAAGGGTTTGAAGAGGGGCTTGGTAGCTAAGAAAGTCAAGTCAGAGAAGAAGGCGCTATACTATTAGGCAAGCAGTGGTTGTAGTCTCAGCTTTCTTCTAGCTTTGGGGGACTTTTTTAATGAGATTTTAGGATTCAAAAAACGACTTTAAGCCCAAGTGCTAGCTAAGTACACTTGTTCAACTTTACTACAAGTCTAAAGAAAGAAAATGAGGGGCAAAGTTGACTCGCTATTAGCTCGTTTAAATCTCTTCACTGCATAGTAAACAACGTTCACCCTAGTCAAATCCAGATGTTGTTTCTTTCTGAGCAGAGGTCTTCCTCCACTAGCAGGTTTTTTTTAAAAACTCTATTTATTCTGGTGTGGATGGCAAACAAGCCTATAAATCTTGGTTTTAACAGGACTCATTGCAAGCGTTATTTCTATATACTATTATCTATTATCTAAAAATAATCAAGTTATTAATGACTGGACGGAACCAAAAAATAATTAGTTCGTGCTCCAATAACATGAAGCACTTCACTCATTGGAAAGAGCACATAAGAGGTTTTTTCTTGAGTTAAGCTCAAGAGAGATTCAACATTCTTAATTGAGCAATTATCTTCTATCATTCAACAAAATATTCCATCAAAATATAAGGATCCGGGTTGCCCTACTATTTATTGTGTTATAGGTAAATTCAGAATTGAACAAGCTTTACTTGACTTAGGTGTCAGTGTGAATTTTCTTCCTTACTCAGTATATGAACAATAGAGTCTTGGTGAGTTGAAGCCCACCACAATGACACTTCAACTGGTTGACCGATCTGTGAAGATACCAACATGGATGGTGAAAGATGTGCTACTCCAAGTAGATAATTTTTACATTTCTATTGATTTTATTGTCTTGGATAAATACCCTGTATTAAATGATAATGCTCAAATTCTAGTCATATTAGGCCGAACATTCTTAGCTACTCCCAATGCTTTGATAAATTGTAAGAATGGTATTATGAAATTGTCTTTCGGCAACATGACTTTGAAATTGAATATCTTTAATGTTCGCAAACAATCGGGTGAGATTAATGATGACTTGTTTGAGGTAAACTTGATTGAGTCGATTGTTCATGATCGATTAAATGACTCTTCTTGTTCAGATCCACTTGAAGCTTGCTTGCTTGAGTGCTCATATTCTTTAAATTTTGGTGCAAAAAATTCCTAGTACACAAGTGCCAAAGCTGGAATTGAAGCCTCTACCTATTGAATTAAAGTAAGCTTTTCTAAGCAATGAGAAAACTTTTTCGGTAATAATTTTATCTAATCTTAGTTCAACCTAAGAAGGTGACATGCCTACAAATTGGAGTGCACAAGACAAGAGAAAGTTTTTAGTTGAGGTAAGAAGTTTCTTTTGGGATGATCCATATCTTTTCAAGTATTGCCCCAATCAGATCATTCAAAGTGTTTTCCCATATGATGAGGTAAACAACATACTCTCCTTTTGTCATTTAGAGGCTTGTGGAGGCCATTTTTCGACTAGGATAACCACTGTAAAAATTTTGTAGTGTAGATTTTATTGCTCAACACTCTTTAAAGATGAATATAAGTTTTATAAGACTTGTGAGTGATGTCAAAAGCTCGGTGGGATAACCCGTAGTAATATGATGCTTTGGTCCAATGGGTCTTTGGTCCAATGATACTCCTTACCTTGTAAAAATTTTGTCTTCTTAAAGTCAAGGGTTCAAGCCTCATTCCTCCTCCCCCCTCCCCCCCAAAAAAGGTAATATGATGCCCCTTAATCCTATTTTAATTAATGAGATTTTTGACTGCTAGGGCATTAATTTCATGGATCCATTCCTTCCATCTTTTGATTATTTATGCATTGGGTCTTAGCCTAATAGTACTTCTTACCTTGTGAAATCTTTGTCTTCTTGAGGTCAAGGTTCAAGTTCCCTTCCCTCCTCCCCCTCCCCCCAAAAAAAGTAATATGATGCCCCTTAATCCTATTTTAATCAATGAAATTTTTGACTGCTAGGGCATCGATTTTATGGGTCCATTCCTTCCATCTTTTGGTTATTTATGTATTCTATTAGCATTTGACTATGCTTCTAAGTAGGTCGAGGCTATGTTATGTCAGAATAATGATCATAAAATTGTTTTGAAATTTTTAAAAGATATTTTTTTTTTTAGATTTGGTATACTTAGTGATGGAGGATTACACTTTTATAGCAGACCGTTTGAATCTTTGATAAAAAAAAATATGGTATTACGAATTAATTATTGGTTAATTACATTGGATAAGGAATTAAATGTGTTAAATTGATTAAGTTTTGATTTTTATCTCTGTCGTAGTGTTTGTTAATTTTGTAGGTAAAATAGGGAATATCAATACTTAAGGGGGCCAATGTGTGAAAGGAGAATGATTCAAAGCTAATTGAAGGAAAGTCTCTGTCTAATGTGTTCGAACGTTGGATCATGAGCGTCCGGACAGAAGTTTTAATAGATGCACAAGAAAAGTCAGAGGGCACACGTCTGGATGGAAGAGGAGATTCGTCGGACGGGACTTCCAAAGAATTAAAAGAGAAGACATTACAAAATGCTTTCAGATGATCCAAAACACGTGATCGGACACGATGGACAGAAAGACCAAGATTGCAAGGTGTGTCCGGATAGTTGAAAACACGCGTCCGGATGCGACAATGATTTTCAGCCAATAACCTTAGACTTAGACGTAAATTAGGTCTTTTGTTCCCCAATGCCTATATAAGTTGGTGTAAACCACATAGAGTGTCATTATGCTCTTAACCCCTCATTCATAGCTTTTGGTTTTTTTTTTTTATTTTATGGATTGCTAACTTTGTAACTAAAGTTAGGGCATATACTTTCAATAAAGTATGATATTATTTTTGATTCAATGTTCTTTTAATGCATGTGTTATTCATTTAATTTAATTCTTGTCTTTTAGTAAAATTTTTGTTCTTTATAATTTCTTAATTCGTTGTGTCACGTACAATTAATTATTGAAATTCCTACTAGTCAAAAAACTAGTTTTACCTAATAGTTAATTTATTATTTACAATAAAATTATGGTTTAATTGTTTGGAGATCTTGATTCACGTGGACTCTGGACACGATGATTGTTTGTTATCTATAAGTAGATTCTACGATTTATTCAAAAAAATTATCAATTATACTTTTGGATGTTTTTAATATTATCATCGTTAAATATTTCGATTAAAATCAATTTTCAGTTGATTGTTAATTGAGTTTGAAAATCGAATTATTAATAATTATGGTGTGAAATTGAAAGGGTGTTCCTGATATTTTAGTATTTTCAAATATTGTTTAAAAACTAGTTTATTGTTTTTCAAATTCAACTCTTTACAACAATCTTCCAAAAGATTTTTTTTTCGTTTGCGTTCTAAATTTACACAATTTTCTGTAGTACGACCTTAGATTACCGAATTTATATTACTTCGTGGCAACCTAAGTTTAGAAAATACATATTGAAAGTTGCATCAGGGACCACATAAAATAAGAACACATTTAGCCTTCAATTAGTTTTTTGTTGCAAAAAATAGTGGTGGTGGCCTGCTGACGAAACTGAGGAGAGGAAAAAACAATTGTTCGCGTTGACCATTTCGATCCACAATTCAAGCAGGCACTCAACGTCCAATTTTGATAAAATTCTAGAATGTGTGTTCGCAATAGTGGGACTACGCATGGATCAATTTATTGTTTAAAGTCTTCTTAGATTGATATTTTGCAAGGCCTACGAGTGAGAGACATTCCCTTTACTTTTGATGATACCCATCTTCGGGTGATGAATATTTGATAGCCTTTGGAAATTGTTCTATGTAAAATTTGTAAATCCATTATTTTGATAGAGTGGTAGGTCGAGATCAGAGTTCGTGGATGTACACCGAGTGTGGGGGAACTATGCAAATTTTTTTCATGTTTATGGTGTGATTTTATTATTTGCTTTAATTTTCATTGATTGAGTTTGGTACATCGTGTACTTAATTTGCATAAAGAGGGATAAAAAATTAATTTTACTATTTTTATGAGTTCACCCTATTATAGAGGAATTATAGTTGCCAAATCTAACAAGTCAACTGTGAATAGTGCCTGATCCGCAAAAAGTTTCTCCCATAAGTAGATTCTCGATTTTTTAATGAATCCTAATTATAGTCATTCTCTATTATGGAATGGAGATGTGTGTGAGGTGAAAGTGCAACAAACTAACGGGATGAAATTAAATTTATCATTTCCTTAAGAGAATGAAAAAAAATAAGAGAATACAATCCCCAGAAGAAGTTCATAGTGTCAATTACAACTACAAGAACCAAAATTACATCAAGTAACTTCAACATCCTATTTTAAAAAGCCATCAACATAGAATAAATTAGATTTGCTAATAAACCTCATGCTAAACCCCTTTCCATGCATGCAATTAACCGAATAGTATATTCGCTTCCCGTTGGTAAGTTGCATAAAGTCTTTGTTAATTAATGAAATTTGTAGAGTCTGTTTGCGGAAATATTATTTTACCATTGTTGATTGTTGATTTGAGCTCTAGATCCTCTCAAATAGTTCCAAATTCCCTTAAAACCAATTAAAATCATCCCAGTCCCACAAAAAATCATTATCAGCATCCACATCCAAGTTCCAACTAATATTTTCTACAACTTGAGGAGGAGGATTGGCATGGTCTCCTGTGGATGTGTTTTTTGGTGAACTTGTTCTTGTCACCGTCATTGGAGGATTTTGATGAGATGTATTTATCTCGTTGAGTTGATGAGGTTGGTGAACTGTTGCTTCATCTGTCATCATCACTCCTAAGGGTCGTCTGTCAAATGTTTGCAAGGTTGTCGATTTTAAGTAGACTCGACACAAACTGAACTTCTGCCTTAACTGCAGGATAAGAAATTTTGAAAAAGATTATATATCCTAATAATAATTACCTCAAATTATGTAATGGTAATTCACTAATTACACAATACATGTGATCATGCACTTACCTTGGTGCAATGCATATATACAAGTAAAGCGTGATGATAAGTATGAAACTAACTTATGACATGAACTAATAGATGAATCTAAAGGTTTTAAGAATTGAATCATCATTTATGGTTTCAGTCTCTTGCCCACTTATATATAAAGAGGAGGGATGGCAATAATTCATTAGCAACAAGAGAAAGAGACAGCAAGATCTTACAAACTAAAGCGTGGGTCTTTAAGTTGAGTTCGAGCTAAGTTGTAACCCAAAAATAATATTGTCCCACACAAATAAGGACCTTAGAGATCTTAAAATCATTTAGTATTATGATGGTGACAGTCCTAAAAAGCTTGAATGTAGCCTTAATTTTCTTTAAGAAAAATTACGGGGTTTAAATCAGTCAGTAAATGTAATAATTATAATCATTGAAAGAATAACCTAAAAATGATGAAGAAGAAGAAGAACAGGAGGAGGAGACGATGTTGTAATCCAGGTAGATTTTATTGTTTTGGGGGGGGGGGTGGTATTTACCCATTAGGATCCTTAATTAGTCAAACCCACGTGTAGGGTTAGGGTTAGGGTTAGACAGCCTAAAAACACTTAAATTTGTCATTTAGATCGCCTATTTTTACAGAAAATTTAATCCCACATATACTTAATATAAACCTTTGGAGCTGCACTTGTTGATGAAGAATCTTCTCCTGCAATGGCCTTGTACTCATTCATCTTCCACTCAGTCTTTCTTCCTCCTGGAGCTCTTCCTGTGTAGAAAACCATGGTTCTCTTCACTCCAATTATTCGGTTATTGGAGTAAACGTAACCTGGAGATCCAGTGGCTTTCCAATATCCTATAGTCGTGAGCCGGTTAGGTCTTCCTCCATGGACTTCTCTCTCTTGCCTAGGAAAGAAGAAAAACCACTGCTCAGGATCCCCTTGACATAACTCTCCTGCAAATTCTACCACCAAAACAAGTTCATGGAAATGAGCTTTCATGACCTTCTAGTAAGTGTCATAATCATTAATTCATACTTGTTCTTTATTAGCTAGATGCAGATTAGATAGCAAATAACAAGCTTGGAATTAATGGTTATATAAACAATTTGAGAAACCAATTTCTTAAATATTTCTTAAATAATTAAGGTGAAGAAAGAGAGAGAGAGAGAGAAGGAATCATATACACTAATATGAAAAAACTAAAAAATGGAAACTAAAATCTTAAATATTTCTGTCATCTTCTGAAGAGTAAAGACAATTGAACAGCAGTAAAGATGATATAGTTTGATGCATGAAAATAAGGGATTTAAGAAACAATGGTTAGGGTGAGCTTAAGTTTGAAACCTCCATTAGAAAATCATATTTAGTATGACTAACATGCGATAACTTCAACCTAGCCAATTGTGCTTAGACACTAGCTTATCATCACAGAGGGGCTAAACATTATAAAGAAACTACTTGATTGTAGAAATTTGACCATTCTTTCAAGTATTATCAGAAAATAAAAGAAGAAGAAGAAGAAAAAAGAATATGAAACCGCAAGGTATGAGAATTTTACTAACGTGGGAGGTCCCATGGATTGTATTTATAAATGTCAACCACGGGTATAGCCCGGTCGAGGTCTTGTCTAGTTCCTTCAAGCTTGTTATGCAGATAGAATGAAACTAACTCTTCTTCTGTTGGATAGAACCTAAAACCAGGTGTCCTATCATCCATGTCTCTCTCTTGTGTTTCTCTCTCTTGGTTATTCCCACATTCTTCTGAGGTATGTTTGGGTTCTGTATTTATAGAGGAGGACAAGCAGAGAGAAAGGAGAGAGAGACCAGCGAAATGAGAAAAAGTTAGCTGAGGCCTTTGACATTGAGGCTGCTCGGAAATTTCCATGTTGCCGGTGGGAGACAAATACAATCTTGTTCACTTCACTGCAACTTCTGGTACTAGATAACAACCTCGAAGAATTAGTCAATCTCTTATCGAATTAATTAGAGATTAAAAATCTCATATTATATCCTATATTATTATCTTATAATTAATGATAGTGATGTATGTCTCAATTAGTCAATATCCCTCATCTTTACTGAATTACACCCCCCACATCCCGCCAACATGACATGAGATAAATGATCTTTAATGGATAAAGAGCAAGTAGTTAATAATTTTAGGAGATAAAAGAAAAACGTTACATCGTATAGTAATTGTTATACATTGTTATCTTAAACCCTCTTAAGAGCCTTTGGATAAAGATACAATTCATATTTGATTATATATGTTCAGAACTAATCACCTGATCACACTCAACTCAGTTCTTTAACGAATTGCTTATGCAAAGCCACCACCCGAAAAACCCACAACTCTTGCCTAGGAAAGGTACATGAGAGAGAGAGAGAGAGAGAGAGAGAGAGAGAAGGGGGGGGGGGGGAGAGAAGGAATCTGTTTGGCTATCCAACCAAAGGTCAGAACAAGTGAGGTCCAAGAGAGAGTCAAAAAAACACTACCAACAGTTTGCAAAATTGTGGGAGAAGACAGCAGTGCATTTATTATTACAATCCCTGTCCCAAACGGACAACTCTACAACCTTCACCTCCTCATATGCTTCCCATTTCTATTGAAATTGTGTCTCCTCCTTACAGACAATGACCAGTCTATGTTATATTTTTTTTAATTTCTTTTGATCTGCTATGTCATTCAACATTTCATAATGCAAAGATGGGTAAGGCTATGAGACCGAATTTGGTTGCAATTATTGATTCAAAAATAATAAGATAATAAAAAAAATTAAAATTTTACACGTCATTTTTATCAAATAAAAAGTGCATATGGTGTCAAAAAATGATAATTTGGTATGGGAATGAGCTTACAAATCTGAATTAATTTATTTATCTAAAATTATAGTTTTATTGTAGTGGTAAGATTAACATAATAGAACTCACAAATAATATAATAATTATATTGAATTAAATTAATAATTTAAGTGTCAACAATATTGTTCAAAGAAGAAATAAGTAAAAAAAAAATGGCCAAATACTTTTAAAATTCAAGAAGTGTGTTTTCTTGTCGGCTATGTAGAACATTGTTACTTTTCTTGTCGGCTAATTATGGAATATAGGGAGCAATAATCAGCATCTCGTACCCCAATTGGGAGGGTTTTGAAAACACCAATAATTCAACGTTAGTGGGTAAGGTAATGATTAATTTTGGAGGATGTTTAGGTGATAGTGATTAAGGAAATGATTAATTTTAAAAATAATTCAAGTAATATCAAAAATAAGTTATAAATTTAAATATTTTAAATTCAAATTTTGAAAACTAATTGAAATCAGATTATAAATAATTTCTCTCTCATAAATAATTCAGTCTCGACATACAAAATTTGCCTTTGATAATATCCAAAAAAGAATTAGTTGAGATATATGTAAGTCAGCCTAGACATCACCGTTAAACCCAATTTTTTTTTTAACCTAATGATTATTGTCAACTTAAAATTACTGGTTTAAGTCTCGTTGTCTCCCTTACTATAATAGTTATATGTATTTGATAAGTATATGTATTTGAATATATATTCATCATATTATCATATTAATGTCTTTTTATTTTTATATTCTTTATTTTGCATGTAGTGTGAGAAAGATTGCTAGTGACTTGATTAATACTATAATATAATGTCAAAATTTATTGTACTCTACCCGATTAATTTGTAATCATATACGCATAATGAGATTTATTTCATATGTAAATTATATTTAGTCGCACTCATATAATGTTAAATTGAATTTGTGTCACTTTATTTATTAAAAATATTGGATAGGCCAACTCTGTCTATAATATAAATCCATAAATTGTGGATTTATGACTAAAAACGTGGTCAAACCCCATGTCAAGATTGCTTCATGACGTGGGCTTAGTCTGCTTGTCTTAGGACATGTCTCATAAGGACACGACAGCGTTTAATCGGGGTTTGTGCCATTATGGATTCAGGCAAAAATCAATTTTATAAGGGGACAAAACCTTGTAATGTAGGGAGGCACCATTAGGAAAGAATTAGTCAACAACCTCCCAAGAATCTTTTGGAACCACCTCTTTTGCTGTTAAGTTTGCTAGGAAAGATGAAACATAAAAAAATATATATATTTTTTATTTTTTAGCGAAAAGACGTAAGAATGATATATTTTTATTTTTTTATGTTTGATAAGATGGTTAAAAAATAAAAATAATTAATTTTTTTTTTGTATTTATTAAAATTAAAGGTGACAATCGAATCGAGCCGTGTCGTGTCGAACCATTACGGATTTGTGTCAAACCATTTGTGAGTTTGTGTCGAATATCAGTCAAACTTAACTCAACTTATTTAATTAATCGTGTCGTAGTGAGTTGACCTGTTTATTTTTGTGTCGTGTTCGTGTTCGTATTTGTGCTGACTCACATAAATTGTGAATAAAAAATTTAATCATAATATTCTATTTTCACTTAATTGAATTCATATTTATACTTTTTCTACAAACTAAAAATTAACTTAAATAAATAATAATAATAATAATAAGTAAAAATATCTTTTCTATATAATAATTATTTTAGTGCTTAATAAATAATTACAAATAATTAACATTTTATGTCTAAAATACTAGTTAAATATGTTAATTTCATGTTACCATGCAAACAAAAAATATAAATAAAGTGTTTATTCTTAAATAAACGGGTTGATGGTGTCAATTTTGAGTTCGAGTCGCGCCATTGTGTTGAGTCGAAAATTTTCATCTGTAGCTAAGATGGAAATAGAATTATTTTTTTATTTTATATTATTTATTATTTATTTATTTTTATTTAAATTTTTTAAAAAAATATATATATATATAAATACATATTTTATCATTGCATTTATATATGAAATTAATATATATATAATATATGTATATATCAAATGATATATAGATAAATAAGATACATTTCAACACAAATAATAATTTTTATCTATTTCCTTCTGATTTTAGAGGGATTGATTTTGGTGAGTTGAAGGAAAGTTCCCCCATCCACTTTTTCATCATTTATTACTAAATATGATATTTTATTTATCCCTCAAAATTTTCATTCTTCTCACTTTTCATCAATCTATTTTTTTATCATATCAAACGGAGCATAAAATTATTTGAAGAGAAAATATTGCATCTTTAGCAGCAGGTAGCAAGCTGACACTCTCAATGGGTACACAACATTAATAACAAATGTGAAATTCTATGGTACCGAAAGAGGTATTATACCGTCACTTATTACTTTTATGGTAAAATTATAAATTATAAGGGAGAAGTTACAATTGTTCAAAGGGACTATAATCGATCATCGATACACATGATCGATCATGAACTTTCTTTAAACAGTTATAACTTCTCTTTTATGAATTGTAATGTGACTTTCAAAAATTATAACTTTGGTATCAATTTCAATCTATCATAACCTTTAAAAGTTGTAATTTATACCTTAAAAAAATTATAACTTAACATTAAATGATTATAAATTTCGGTTCAATATCAAAGGAGTTACTATAACTTTTCCCATAACAAATTATCACTTCAATAATGTGCCAGAAAATTTTAAGGTCAGCCAAATGGTTGACTTTGTTGACGTTACGGAGATTTTTCTTCCCCCTCTCCTAATTTTTTGAAAGTTTTTATCTCTTAATTATACGTCGCGGTCTCTTAATTATGATCCAAAACTGACAAACAAAAATTCGAATTGCACACTTAGAGAGAAATAGTATCTATGGCACTCAGTCAAATAGATGATAGCAACAACTATTCAACTCGAAAGTATTAATCAACTGTAGTTTACAGAAATACGACACAAAAAATTGAAAAAAAAAAGGTCTTATACTAATCACTATAGCATTGCATATAAAAATCAGAAATACTGTCCCATCAATCAATGGATAAAAAAAAAGGGTTGATCAATTTATTCTGGCTTGATCCACCAATTTTGCTCTCGGGTAAAAAATAAATGTGGGATTTTTCTAATTTTTTTAAGGGGTTAAAACATTTTTTCTATTACGATAAAAAACAATGAGAACTTGGATGAACTTGAAGGGTATGATTATTTTAGTAAATTTTCATTGAAATGTTTTATTATTTATTGACTTTCTATTTACCATGGCCGTGTGTTAAGGGAAGAATTTTTTATTAGGTTTGTATGTTTTAACAGGAAACACATTCACTTTTGTAGAAAGTAAACCCCAGGAAATTGTAAAAGGAGTAGGTGAATTCCATCAAATGAGACAGAAGGTAAGAGATACGCAACTGCCCGCGTGAAGAAAAGAACATGTGAGGTGACCTAATACGAAAAAGTCTTGTTCAAAAAAAAAAAAAACCTAACAGGAAAAAAAGAGTGCTAAAAAATACATATGGCTAATAGTGGCGTTAATCAAAATTTTAGTGTTCAATATTGAGAAATCGTTTAGTTAGCATAGATTTAAATTGTGCACATAAAAAAAAATTGATGTTAACTATGCTTTATCGAATTAGTGAACATCTTTCTCCTAAGTCATTGGATGATCAACAAGAAAGGCAGCAGGATTCGAACCAATGGCTGGATTGCTCCTAACCTGAGTTGGGTGGCCAGGTTAGCACCCCTTGTCGCCTCTATACCCGAAACAGATGCAGTGCATACCATATCAATGCAAAAAAAAAAAAAACTAATACCAGATCAATGTAAGCTTGGCTTATGAAATCGAAATACCTAATTACTCTTTCATATCAATGCAAAAAAAAAAAAAATTCTGGACAATGAAACTTTGAATTCCTATAACGTTAGAAAGTCGAATTCCTAATCACTTTGACAGCGTCAAAAAGTTACTTGTCCATCAAATGTCGGTGTGAAGAGAAATAGAAAGAGAAAACACT